CTGTGGTTTTCTCTATGTTTTGAAACAAATGTAAGACTTATATTCTACCAATCACCTCCAGCCATACTAAATACGACTAAAAAGGAAATGGTGAAAAACTTACTGCACTATATTGTGTCAAAAGGTCAAGTCATCATGGCTCTGTTGTACAGAATTAATTTTCCACCCAAAAAGAAAACTGACAGAAGCACTTCAGAATCAAGATTTAAAAGAAGATAGCCTGAGTTTGCTCAGCGGTTAAAAGCAATGGATACTCTTCTAGGGAACCTGGGTTTGATTCCCAGCACTCACATGGCAGTTTACAATGTTAACTCCAGTTCCAGTAAATCTACACCCTCTTCTGGTCTGAATGGGCACCAGAAACACGTGTGGTGCACAGACACATATGCAGGCAAAAGGCACTCCCACACAAAAATTAACAAACAATGAGAAAAGATTGCAAAATAGCATGTAGTACAGAATTATATGCTAAAAATAAAGAAGTTACGTGTGAATAATTCTGACTGATTCTTTGTATTATGAAGTACAAGATGAATTCTTTTCCAACCAATGAATCAATGTGAGACAAAAACAAGAATAAAAGAATATGGTACCCTTATCCAGAAAGCCATTCAACAGGAAGGGCTCCATTTTGCAGTAAGAGTTTCATTTTGCAAGAAGAGCTGGGGCCATCTCATTTTTCTAAAAGGCTGCTTGGCTTTTACTTCATCTCTTATTATATGTGTGCAACATTTACTTGATTTGTAATGGGCAAAGGCTGAAGGCAGGTGTGCATACAAAGGTGACTAAAAGAAAAAGATGATATAGAAATGAAGACATTCATTGGATTGATCATTCTAACTAATTTTATAATAAGAATGAAAATGTTTTACAATTATGGAGCAAAGGTGAAAAACCTCCAACACAAAATGGTAAGTACTCAGTTTTCAAAGTATCTAAGTATTACATTTTGACTATGAAAATGCAAGTAGAGGTAATGATAAAGTTAAAACCTATTAGAAATGAATAAGCAATCTTTAACCATTATGTTCTAGTCCACACATGACGCCAATGAGCAACCAGCTGTATCCACAAGATACTAGCCCTCTGGGTTTATAGACTGTCAAAAATCAGAAACCTATAGAGTAAACTTTGGATTTGTTATTGTTAAATTTATATTAAAATTCCTAGTAGTCATTGATATTCCCCTTTTATTTCTCTGAAAATTACACACATATAAAGAATTTTTTAAAATTCTAAATAAAATTTTATTTAAAATAAAAATATAAAGACTTTTTTAAAAAAAGTGAGAACTTTTCTTCCTTGGCATATGAGAGTTAAAACATTTGTACCATACCAGCCCCACTTGTTCTAAATTATATTTGGTGGAGATTATATGTTCTCATAATCTTGGCTGCCTAAGTTATAAATCTCTATTTCTTTCCATATGACTGCACAGATCTTTTTATAGGTCAAATAGTCTTAACTATTTCTAGCTCAATATGACAACAAAGTACCAATACTACCTCAATTCTTATTCTCATGAAACCACTTGCTTTGTGAGCCAATACTGACATTTAACTTAGTTTTAATTCCTTTTTCACCAAGACTTTTCAGAAGTATATTTTATGCTTGGTGTGATGGTGCATGCCTATAATCATGAGAGATGAAGACAGCAGTGTCCTAAGTCTAATTATCTTGGTGCTACCCAGAAAATTTAGTACCAGCCTCAGCTACATAGTAGCTCTGAGTCAAAATCCCAAGGGCTGGGGACACAGCTCAGTGGCAGAGCACTTGCTCAGCTCATATGAGGTCCTGGGTTTGATTCCCAGCACCAAAAACCAAACCACCACTACCAACAGTGTCAAGAATACACTAAGAGTTGCATACATGTTAAGAATCTAATCTGAAAACCTGAAAAGCTCTGACTTCAAAGTTCTTCTGAATGCCAACATGGAACCAATTATTCATCTGACCTCACAAGGTAACTCACAGTCAGCAATAGGTGCACTCAAACTACTGAGCAGTTACCTTCAGTCACATTTGTGTAAGTATGTATGAAATAGGCGAATCACCTATCTATACTGAGACCTCATCTTTAAGATAGCTTATGAATATGCAAATATTCCCAAGTCCAACAAATTCTGAACCCCAAAACCCTCTTGGTTCTCAGCCTGTGTAGTACTCAACCTGCAATGTTCTTTAACCTACAAATAACCTTGCACTTCCATTCATTTCCTCTAGAGCTTCTCAGAGCAGTTCAACAAACAAACCAACAGACAGACAGTAAGGACACCAAGGCACCGAAACCAAGGGAGCTGATGCCATGCTCTGGCCACCCTTCTGCCTGTTTCACGGCACACTGCACGGGACCAAATTAGCTAGTGTTCTATGTGTCACAGTTGCAAAACTGTAAAAAGTGAAAAACACAACTGTCTAGAACCCAACTTTTTCAATTTCCCCTTCTATTACAAGAATACCCTCAGGCTGGGGTTGTAGCTTATACATAAGGCCCAGGTTTCAACAACCAGCACACATATCCACAAGAACATGGCAGCCAACATCCTAACAATGTTTTTACCTAAGTTACCCTATCTTCTACAATCTCTAATCTTAATTGTTTTTAGAGTAGGTTTTTTTGGGGGGTGGGGTGGGGTCTTCCTTTCCAAGAACAGCAACCACATTTCAAAATTGCTACACTCTGAAACACACTGCCTGACAACTATTTGTGATTCTTTATCTCTCACTCCGATGAAACAGTCTTCATTTTCCACTTCAACCAAACCAAATGAAACCCCAATAAACTCTTCACTATTCTTTATATACGCTGCAATCAACTTTGCCCCTCATATACATATCCCACTGACTATATACTTGAGATTACTTCTATGTCATCTTTTTCTAGCATTGTATTCTGTGATAGCTACTTCCAGTAGCTTTTCAAAGTGTTTTGTTGCCCTCAATTATATGTGAAATCATTGAACCAAAAAACTTAAATCTTTTACATACAGTGGATACTAACACATCACTGTTAGTTGATTTTCTACAGTTTCCAGATGTATTTTGAAAATACAGATGAGATTAAAAACAAAAAAGAAACAAACAAAACCCAAGGAAGATAACATCCAATTATCAGTAAAAATAATAAGCATATACAAAGGGACTGACTTAAGAAAACCACTGTTAAGGGACAAGTTACTGTATAATACTATACATTAACAACACAATCATTTTTATGATGGTATAGGGAAAGTGCCAGGTCCCAATCTTGAAATGCAACTATAATCACCTTTTAAGACAATGCTTACAGGATTGGAAATGTATCAAAGCTCATCTACTTTAAATTGATATTATCAAAGGCCTTCTGTTAAATTTCTAATGTCAACTAGACTTTTCAATTCAGCTAAAAGTTCTTTTATTTCTGAGTCTCTCAAAGCAGGCATGTGACATCTCAGCAATCCAGATAGTATCAGGAGGAAAATAACGAAACAGCTCTTTTAGATCTATTTTAAAGTCTAGGTCGCTAAAAAACCTAGAAAATTCCTAACAAATGCAGAAGGATTGTATTAACATTGTAAGACCTAAATTCCAGTAGCAGGGAGGCAGGGGGCATGAATAAATCTCAGATTTAGTAAAACCAATCATTCCCCCATTTTTTATTTTAATTGATTACTAATCTTCCTTACAGGGTTAAAATTTATTTAAATGATCTTACTATTCTGGTCCCACCTCATCTTCCAGCCAAAGAAGGGTGGCTCTGAGTATTCTCTCATTAACTACAAAATCATTCAGGGAACCTTTTATGGTTCACAAAGGATGTATGAAAGACACCAAACAGCACTAAAAAGTACAATTCTGAAGCTGACAGTGTATTAATAAGTTAAGTGAGACCAGGTTTAATCTATCTCAAAGATGACTTCCTCATGTCTCCTTCCCACTAATTTCCCCATCAATGTTCCCAAAGCATTTCATTATAGAAGGACCTAGTTTTAAGTGTACAAGTTACCTGAAGTTTCCACGACACTATGCTAGAGCTAAGAGAAATATAACACAAGCATCATATTTATTAATCTCTCAACTCCCAGTATCTGGCACTGCAATCAGTATTTAACAGGTTTTAAGGGGCAGTTGATTATTTAAACTGATAAGCTGAAGGCCTGCGAGGAAAGGCAGAAAGGTATTTGACATCAAAATGGGCTTCTGGGTCTTACTGCCTCTGACCTCGCCATTATTCCATTAGCAAACTGTCCACCACAATCTTTGGCTTAGTACTGCTCTCTGTGTATTACGACTGGTGCAGATAAGGAAGGGCAGCAATTACCAGTATACTGCAAAAAATTACTCAGGCCGGAAAATTTGTCCAAATGTGATGGAACATTTCGCCATTGTCAGAGGAACATTTTAAACCTAAAACAGGGGTATGACATATCTATCCTATGCCCAAGAAGGAGCTTCACCAGCACCCCCAAGCGCAGAGACATCTGGATTAAGCTCTTTTCTGAGCCTTCTCAGGGTTTCCTTCCTCAATCTCCCTTTCTTACGTTAGTCTCTGGATCTCAGTTCCGGGCCTCTTCAAACCCTCAGATTCTAGTAAGAAAAAGGAGACATTTCCTCGTTTGCGCCCCGCTCCCCTCCAGCCACTTCGGGCGCTTCCTACACCATCCACCCTTCCCGGCCTACCCCCAGCCTCTAGTAGGCCTCAACCCTCATCCATTGTTATTTACATCGTCGTCGGGGGAGGCTGAACGCTTCACCCCGTGCGGGTGAGACTCCCGGGCAGCACTCATCGTGGCTGGGATCCCGACCGGGATATGCCGAACACACTCGCAGTTCTCAAACGCGACACCAGCAGCCCTCACTCAGCCACCGGCCCAAGCAGCGCCACTCCAGAACGCAGAGCCCCTCCGGGCCTTCTCCGCCACAGTCGTCACTGCTGCGGCCGCTCGTCGCCCCGGAGCACTCCGGGAGTTGTAGTTTTTCGGACTCGCTCTTTACTAGCCTGACTAGGCCGTCTTTCGTGGCTTAAACTACAATTCCCAGGAGGCCTAGCGACACCTCTCGCGCGGCGTGGCGGGAGTGCCCACGGAGGCTACGCTTTCTTCGGCGGCGTGTAGAGGGAGATTTCCCGCGGATGGGTATGGTGGTGATCATTGGTGAACAACTTCGTTGCCACAGAAAGGCCTAGAGTGGGTTTTCGCCCTTTTTCTGTGAGATTCTGCCCTGTTGGCAAACACATCTGTCGTAGTTAAACACATAAATTTAAATGTAGTGTTTGAGACTTACTGAATACGAGTTCTTAGGTCCGAGACAAAAACCTTTTAAAAAATGGCTTCTTTCTCCTCCCTAAAAGGTGGTCTTTCTTGCTCGCTCGGGATGTCTAGACGATTCTGATTAATTTCTTGCTGTTTTCTAGTATCCACTGAAATGAGTTTAGTATGATGCTGATGGCTAGCTAATTGGCTGTGTTGGAAACCGAGGCCCACCTGAGGAAGGTGTGGAACACTTTTCACAGGACGTAGTGTGAAGTAGGTAGGAGTGACCCTCTCTGACCGTTCTTCCCAAACAGAGTATTTGAGACTTCACCGACTGGCGTCTGCCTCTGCCAGAAAACCCTGTATCACTTTTATCCCCCTTGGGGGGTGAATTTCACGTTAAAATAAACCCCTTTAAAGTTCCAACACAGTGGCATTTAGGAACATAACACACCTTCAACTGTCACCTCAGTCTAGTTCCAAAACACCACCCCCAGTATAGATACTTCACTGTTTCCCCCATTTGCAAGCCCGTTACCAATTCCTGCTTCCCCATATCCCTTCTCTCTTCCCAGCCCCAGCAATGACTAAGCTTCTCCTAAAACCTTGTAGTCCAGTGTTCAGATACTGAAAATGAACTACATGTTAGGGCATCTGAATTTTCAGACACATCTGAACCTAACATTATGTCAGAATGACTTTCCCTTACTCTTATTCTGAAACTTTCTGACCTTGTTTTTTTTTTAAAAAAAGTGAGTTTTTTGTTCTTTTGATTTTTTTTTAAGACAGGGTTTCTCTGTGTAGCCTTGGCTGCTCTAGAACTCTCTCTGTAGACCAGGCTGGCCTTGAGCTCACAGAGATCTGCCTGCCTCTACCTGCTGAGTGATTGGATTAAAGGCAAGCACTACTACTGCCTAGCAAAAAATGGATATTTAAAGTAAAAACAAATGTTTAGTATAAATCTCCATACTGGTGGTGTGTGAAACAAACTTAACTGTCAGCTCCTGTTATTCCAGTTTAATTGCTTGTATACAAATACCACTTTCCTAAATTTTAAATGAAGCTGAACCATTGATAGAATTTTGCCCAAAGTGAGGCATGATATGCCTGTAAACATAGTACCTGGGAGGTGATAAAGGAAGTTTAGAAGTGTGTTGGACAGGTCAACCTGGGCTACAGTTGAGACCTCCTCTCAAAAAACCTAAATAAACAAAGCAACAACCCCTATCACCACCAAACCCAAAACTTGGAACTGTGCACACTGAAAGACAGTATCTTAATTTCTGCAGCCATAGATCCAAATTCTGTTCCTTTATTTTTGAAATAGAATAGCTTTTAAGTAAATTATATAGAAATACATTTGGAGCTATATTTAATAAGCATGACCAAGCAAAACACAGATTAGTCTGTTATTTCTATGTTAAAATAAACCACAATAAAGGAACAAACCTATGAGGAGCAAAAACATTTTTAGAAGTGGTTTCTTAGTCACTAGAATTAAAATATTTTACTTACTAACTTCATAAACCTATTTAGTTTTTATAAATGCAATTATACTGGAATCACATTTAAGTTACAAAGTAGGATGATTATAATTCACTTCAAAAAGATTTGACAAATTGAAATAAACACAATTTAGAACTCTTAGTCATGTTACTGACAAAATAAGATGGCTCAATAGTTACTTAAAGACAGCAGGATAAAGAAGATTATTAGGGCTGGAGAGATGGCTCAGAGGTTAAGAGCATTGGCAGCTCTTCCAGAGGTCCTGAGTTCAATTCCCAGCAACCACATGGTGGTTCACAAACATCTGTAATGAGATCTGGTGCCCTCTTCTGGCATGCATGAGTACACAAAGACAGGACACTGTATACATAATAAATAAATAAATCCTTTAAAAAAAGAAAAGATTATCAATAAGGTTAGTAGCTACTAAATAATTTTAACTTTACTAATAGATAGACGTCAAGAAAAATTTAATGAGTTAATAATATACCTTTATTTACCAGATTTGTGGCACATCTGGATGGCTATGTCTTCATGTTATAAAACATCATCACAGCAAGTCAAACCTCAGAATAGCATAAAAATTGTATCATTAGAACAAACTTGACTCAGTTCATGTTCAGAAAGCTAGGTGGAAAGATGAAATTATATAGTAGTAGAAATATATGACACAGAGACTCAGCAATATTCTTCCTTGTTAACAAGAAGAGACTCAGTCACCAATGAAGCTATTAAACACCTTTAGCACTAGACTATTCCAGCTCCATTTGTGTGTGTGTGTGTGTGTGTGTGTGTGTGTGTGTGTGTGTGTGTGTGTGCTTTCTAGCACAATGCCACAGAGTGGTGGTTAGTGAATGTCTTAAGTTTGTACTATCTCAAATATTCTCTGATAATCCCTGAGTGTCTACACACTAAGGAAATTTTGCCAAACACTTTTAGTGGTACATAAGGGACATATTTTCTCCATTCAAGGAATTTAAAATTTCACTGTAACAGTTTAAGTTTCAGTTTACCAATTTATCAAGTACATCAGGACTATTTGCCAAAGACAGAGGTGAGCAAAAATGATTACTGAATTACATTCTGGGGAGTGCTAAATGTCTAGGGACTGAACCTCTAAGGATTATTTTATTCTAAATGAGTGTGCACTTTTATTGTTTAGAAATAGCTAGCTCTTCAGATACATTTTTTTTTTTTTTTCGAGACAGGGTTTCTCTGTGTAGCTTTGCGCCTTTCCTAGAACTCCCTTTGGAGACCAGGCTGGCCTCGAACTCACAGAGATCCACCTGCCTCTGCCTCCCGAGTGCTGGGATTAAAGGCGTGCGCCACCACCGCCCGGCCAGATACATTTTTAATAGTGAAAACATTCATAATTCTTTCTTGTATCTTTTTTATCTTTTGCTGATGTTTGGAAACAAGATCTCACTAGCTCAGGTTGGCCTGAAATTCTACATAGCCCAGTGTGTTCTTGAACTCACAATTTTCCTATCTCAGCCTCCCAAGTGTGTGTAGCATTATCTAGCTTTTAGTTTTTAAAGATATATAGCACATTATCTGCACTATCATCATCAGTAACCACTCTACTATGCAATAGTACACCAGAACTTCTACTACTTATCTAACTTTAACTTAGTACCTGTTCACCAGCTTGTCCCTAGTCTTCTCTTATCTCAGTTTTTTATTTGGTAATCACTCTCAACTTCCATGAGGTCAACTTTTAAATAATCTATGCATGAATAAATCACTCAGGACTTGTCTTTCTGTTTCTTGTTTGTTTCATTCAGTGCTCTCCAGTTCCATGCATAATGGCACGCATGACAGGATTCCATTCCTTTGTAAGGCTGAATGGTGCTCTGTTGTGTACATATACTATGTCGTCTATTCATCTATTGATTGATGCTTAGCTTGCTTCCATTTCTTGGCTATTATATAAATAATGCTGCGATAAAAATGGGAGCACAGATGTCTCTTCAACATAGTGCCTTCATTTCCTTTGTATACATACCAGTTGGATGATTGCTGTGCACCATATGATAGCTCTATTTTTAATTTTCTGAGAAACCTCCATGCTGTTTTCTATAATGGCTGTAGCAACATTCATCCATTAGTAGTGTGCGAACTTCATCTTTTCTCAGCATCCTCTCTCTCTCTCTCTCTCTCTCTCTCTCTCTCTCTCTCTCTCTCCCTCTCTCTCTCTGTGTGTGTGTACATATATACTAGTTCCTTCTGGATTGAGGCAGTCACACTATGATTTTGTTTGTTCCTCTCTACTGGTTAGCAACAGTTAGCATTTTCTCATCTATGTGTTGGCTGTGTGTCTCTTTTGAGAAATGTTTGTACACTCTGTTAGACTTTACCGCACCTCTGAAAAGGATCAGTTTGATTTTTAAAATTAATAATTTATATGTTTTGAGATATGGTCTGGAGCTCAGGTTGGCCTCAAACTCCTAATCCTCTTGTCTGGGGTTTATAAAGTGTAGTATTACAGGAGTCTACCACCATGCCTAATTCAAGTTCAATTTTAAAGTGAAGCTCTCAGAAAAATATTCCAGCTATTCCACCATCCCCCACTACTCCTCTTCCAGTTACTGATGGGCATTGTACCTTTAAATTTTAAGAAGAATTTAGTAGTATTATTATTATCTTTAATTATCTATGTGTGTATATGGGGGTATGTATATGTTGCAATTGCTGAAAGAAGCCAAAGGTGTGAGGTTCCCCCTAGAGCTGGAGTTACAGTTGGTTGTGAGCTGCCTGATGCAGGTGCTAGGAATTGAACTTGGGTCTTCTGCAAGAGCAGCATGGACTCTTAGCAGCTGAGCCATCTGTCCAGTCTCATCTTAATTCTAATACTAGAAAGTTAGCGAGGCAGGGGTCATGAATGTGCTTTATTTCTTTTTAGTTTGAAAAAATCAACACACATGCTAGACATAGTGGCACACACCGTTAATCCCAGCACCTGAAAGGCAGAGGCAGGTGGATCTCTGTGAGTTTGAAGCCAGCCTGGTCTACACAGTGAGTTCCAGGACAGCCTGAACTACCTGAGCTATGTAGTGAGACCCTGTCTTAAAAATAAACACAAAAAATGCAAAATCAACATATATAATAATGAGTTTCATTGTGGCATTTTTGTACACACCTTGTTTTGGGTGGTCTTCTTCCCACATTCCCATCCTTGCTTTCTCCCCACTCCAGCTAGTCCTCTTCCTCTCCCCAGTAGACCCCTTCTGCTTTTAAAACAAGTCTTAAAGATTTATTTTATTTTTTCATTATGCATTTCTGGGTGTGTCTGTCTGTGTGGGTTTATGTATGTGAGTGCAGGTTCCTTCTGAGGCCAGAGGTGGTTGAGCCATCTGAGTGCTGGGAACCAAACTTGGGTCTTCTGCAAAGCAGTGTGTGCTCTTAATTGCTGAGCCAGCTCTCCAGCC